GGGAGGGGGGTCTGTGCTTTTTTATATAGAGGTTGCATAACTGTTCCCAATGTAGGACGTTTAGCATTTTTCTGAACTCTTTTAGGCACTAAACGTCATTATTATGAAGCTTTGAACACGAGTTTGGCTGATAAGTTAGTAAGAAAAATGAGTAAGAGATTTTGAGCTTCTTCGTTCTCAACCTTACCAAATTCGGATTGTTGATAAGATCAACGCTTATTCCTTTTGAAAGCAAAAACTGCTGGAAAAGACCATAGTTGTAGTTCCAAGAAAGCTGTAAAATTGTTTTTGGCTGTGTTTCTGAATGACTAGAGTCAAAGAGTTCACCTGCAGTGCTCCTCTCCCAAAGTAACAACCTTTGTAGTATGTAACATTAGAATGCATTTCTATAGTCCCATTGCAGGGATACCAGAAATTTAAGATTGGATCGTTTTTACAATACCTGCCCTCATCGGTGCATCTGTAAGAAGATCTTACTTTAATTATGAGAATTGAAATAGGTTGCTCTAACCTTTTGCCGTCTACAGTTTGGAATCCAGGAAAGGCCGGAATTAGAAAAGAACTGTTAGGCCCCCTCTCAAACCAGTTATAGAAGCCTCCACGATAGAAACATTCGGCGGCCTCTTCTTCTGATAAGCTTGAACTGTAATGATATTTATCACAGTCAGAAAGGATAACATGCGACAGACGCATTTGATGCAAGCAGAGCAAAAGTTAAAGATAGAAAGAAGAAGATAAATTTAATGAGACATTTGACCAAAGTGGAGATCATAAAAATCTAAATCGCTGGATAGATTTCTTCGATAATAATTCACTTTGTGTACATAACGTATTCCTCTGTATGCTAAGAGAGATGTTTCAAGTAAAATTCTTGCACTCACTGCCAGTTAGGCTGAAGTTCTTGAGGACTTACTTATAAAGCGAAATATCATTTTCCCCTGTTTCCTGAAGGACGTGGGCGAAGAAGGCAGCAACATCTCGTCTTTGATGTTCCCAAGCTTCATAATCCTTAAAATAGGAGAGTTGAAGAGACATATAAAGGTGATTTGACAAATTGTGCTGAACACT